CGTTCTCCTGTAAACTAGTATCTCTCCGTCCTCCTGTAAACCTCTCCCTTTCCTCCTGACCCAACCCAACAACTTCTGGGGAGACGGAGGACGAGACGACGAGGGAGGAGGAGGAGGAAGGATGAAGAGAAGGAAGAGGAGGATGAGGAGGAGGAGGAAGATGAGGAGGAGGAGGAGGAGGATGGAGGAGCAGGAGGAGGACCAGGAGAGGAGAAGCAGGTCCTTGGAAGGCTGCAGCCCCTCCTCCTCCTCCTCGCTCCCCCTGGTGGACGGGGCCGCCGCGCTCCCCCGCCTAAGGTACCCCCCCAGGCAGCGGCATCCTCGGCTGCCCAGGGCGCGGGGCCGGAGGGCCCAGGGGACGGATGTCTCCCCGCGCCAGGGAGCCGTCTGGCCCCGCGGGCAGCCCCCGGGGGGCCGTCCGGAACAGCACAACCCGGAGCAGAGTCCCCCCGTGCTCTTCGCTCTCATCCGCTCCCCGTCCCCAGACCCCCGACGCCATGGTTTCTGCATGACGTTGAACCCCAGAAGTCTCGACCCATTCCCCAGCACCGGTTTCTCATGCTGAGCCGTTTTTTGACGCTCCCGGGGCCCGGTGGTGGTGGTAGTGATGCTGATGCTCATGGTTGGTGATGGTGACGGTGTTGAGGATGATTGACGATGATGGCGATGGTGATGGTGATGATGGTGATGGCGAGGTTGCTGATGACAATGATGACGTTGGCGATGGCGATGGTGGCGATGATGATGGTGATGATGCTGCTGCTGACGATGATGATGATGATGATGAGGAGGAGGAGGAGGAGGAGGGTCATGGTCATGAGTCATGGTGCTGGCCATGGTTATGGTCATGGTGCTGATGATGATGACGATGCTGATTCTGACGATTATGGTGGTACTTGTTATAGTGCTGGTGGTGGCGATGATGATACGGATGACGATGACGATGATGATGATGATGATGATGATGATGATGATAATGATGACTATGATGATGATGGTGATGATGATGACGGTGTTAATGATGGTTCATGATGGTGGTGATGATGATGACGACTACGATGATGTTAATAATGATGGTCGTAGTAGTGATGGTGTTGGTGATGGTGACGGCGATGGTGGTGATGGTGATGACGGTGATGGTGATAATGATGGCGTTTGTGATGATGATGATGATGATGACGATGATGATGGTGACGGTGATGCTTATGTTGATGATGGTGATGATGATGACGATGGTGGTGGTGATTGCGATGGTGACGGTGATGATCGCACTGCCGACGACGATGTTGATGATGACGATGATCATCATCATCATCATGATGATGGTGGTGGTGCTGATGGTGATGGTGATGATAATGGTGATGACGATGATGATAGTGATGTAGTCGATGATGATGAGTGCGGTGATGTTGATGATGGTGATGGTGATGGTGATGGTGATGGTGGTGATGATGTTGACGATGATGATGATGCTTCCGTTGACGATTATGATGAGGATGTCGATGACAATGATGACGTTTGTGATTGCGATGATGGCGATGCTGATGATGGTGATGATGATGCTGATGGTGGTGGTGGTGATGATGATGATCATGATGCTGATGACGATGATGATGATGATGATGATGATGATGATGATGACGATGGTGATGCTGAGGAGGAGGAGGAGGAGGGGGACGAGGAGAAGAAGGAGGAGGAGGATGACGAGGAGGAGGAGGAGGAGGAGGAGTGGACAGAGGAGGAGGGGAGGGGTAGGGCGAGGGGTGGGGAGGGAGTGGGCGAGGGGGGGGGGAGGGAGGAGGATGGGGAGAGGAGGGGCGTTTCTCTTCCTCCATGGCCGCGGGCAGCGCGGCGCCGCGCTGCGCGAGGTGATGCTGCGGTGCCCCGCCAAGGACGCGGAGGGGAGGAAGATGACCCAAGACATGGTCGAGGCCCGGCCCGGTACCTTCCTGGCCCAGGTGTTCTATAGGCTTCCTAAGATGGGGTCGGAGCACACGAGGTCGGAGGATCGCGCCGCATCGCCGTTACATCGGAGATGCGGCTCGAATGTAGTCGTGCATGTCTTTCGTCAGGAGAAGTATATTCAAAAGTTGTCAAACAAGAGTCTCGAAATGATGTTTTTCTGGTTTGACTATTTTTGTTATATGTTTGACTGCGTATCATTTTGCCTCCGAAGCCCGCCTGTAGGAGGACACGCCCGACATAAGGCTCGATGTGGAGCCCGATGTTTCCAATGCCGACGTCGCCGATGCATCGCCGACGTCGCCGATACATCGTCGATGCATCGCCGATGATCCTCCGACCCCATCTACTCCGACCCCATTCACAGGGTCTCGAACGAGGGTGTCGGGGGCGGCCAAGAGGGGGTGATGACTATGGGGGCATTGGATATCATGGCCAGAGCCATAATACCTCCCCAGATGTCATGTCGCCCGTTTCAGCACGTTCCCTGGCCCCCCTGGTCCGCGCACGTGCCTCCGACCATGAGCTGCGACACCCCCCTCTCGGACGCCTCCCTCCTGGACGCCCCCGGTTCGCCAGGCATGCTCGCGCCGTGAACACCAACCACGACAGGCGGAGGAGGAGGAGGAGGAAGAGGAGGAGAAGGAGGGAGGCGGAGGAGGCGGAAGAGAAGGAGGAGGAGGAGAAGGAGGGAGGCGGAGGAGGAGGAGGAGGAGGAGAGGAGGAGGAGGAGGAGGAGGAGGAGGGGAGGAGGAGGAGGAGGAGGGGGGGCGTGAAGCAGATGGATCAGGACGATGGTGGACGGCGAGGGGGGTGATGAGGAGGCGTAGAGTAAGTGTTGAGTAGGAGGGGGAGGAGGAGGATTTGAAGGGGAGGCGGTGGGGGAAATGGGGGAAAAGGAGGAAAAGCACATGGAACACGACTGAGGTGAGAAAGGGCTGGCAGCGGGAGCGTGCTCTTCTCGGGCCGGGGTGCGTGTAGGCAAATGCCATGCTCGCGTCCTTCAATGAAGTCTGTTTCCTTCTCTACCTTGTCCTCCTCATCCTCCGCCTTTTTCTCAACTCTTTCCGCCATTTCCTCTCCGTTGTCGTTCTCCTCCTCCTCCTCCTCCTCCTCCTCTTCCTCCTCTGTGTCCTCCCCCCTGCTCCGACCTTGTGTCTTCCGTATCCTCTGGCGGGAGAGTGAATTCTTGCTTTGCCCCAGTCGCCCCCCAGGTCATCAGAGACGAGTGCTGCTTCGTGGCGGACACGCTAGCGCCCGTGTCGGACGTGAAACATATCTACAAGGACATCGTCCAGGCTCGCTGATGACGCCGAGGAGGAGGCGGGGGAGGGGGAGGAGGAGGAGGGAGACGATGAGAGATGATGATGATGATGATGATGATGATGATGATGATGATGATGATGATGATGATGATGATGATGATGATGATGATGATGATGATGATGATGATGATGATGATGATGATAGATGATGATGATGATGATGATGATGATGATGATGATGATGATGATGATGATGATGATGATG